GGGGGAATCAGGGTGTGTGGGGGGAGAGACAGAAAGAGAGAGAGGGAGAGAGATACACACACACATGCATGCAGAGATGGAAAAAGGAAAAACAGCAAACTGGAGTGATCTCACAAAGTGCTCTAGATGGCAGAGCCTGCACAGCTTGTAAGACAAGCAATGTGCACAAAAAAAATCTAGCAAGCAGCTTCAAGAATTCTTCTTACCTCTTCTGACGATGTAACATACAGCAAGTGCTGTGTGCTGCATAGGAATCTGTGCAGTCACAAATCAGTCTGCTTTCCTCACTCCTAAAATAAAAAAATGTCAAAAAAGGAAAGGAGAAACAAAGCAAGAGCAAAAAAGAGACAGGGAATAAAAAACAAGCTTTCTAAAACATACAAGTGAAAGGAGAGAGGTTCGGGAAGATGGGAAATAGTGTGGAAAGAAGCACCCTAACTCCTGGTCCTAACATAGATCGGCTCTGTAAATATGTGACAAAGCGCTGCCTTCCTAAGCCATTGCGTAATAATAGAATCCTAAGCTGTGTAGACACTGCCTGACATGCTAAATCCTCAGAAGCAACATTCAACATTTGTCGGTGGAAAGCATATTAGTTCTCAGTGTGTGGACGGGTTGGTTTGAGAAAAGGGGAGAGGAGAGAGGAGCAACATTTCAAAGTAAAATACACAGGCTGCAGCTGCAAAGGGCTGTCAAATGGCAACTGTGCCAAAAAATGTTACTATCAAGACAAAATATATCTATCTATCTATATACAAATATAATAACACTGCCAGTTCCATTCATGCTGTTTAATACTAGAGGAAGAATCCTCCCTGGATATGTTTTAGTAACTTCAATACCAATGCCAGCAAGAAGAGAATACATGGGATTATTTTTCCCTCCTCCTCCCGCTGCTGGCTGGAAATAGAATAATTTAGGAAACACTAAATACAAAAAAAATAAGATCGAATTCCAGCGGGTCTGACTAGCTCTGTTCAAATAACTAGCTGATTTTTATTTCCATCATGAATTATTTTCCTTCTGATTCCTTGTCTGAAGAGGTCTATTTAGAGCAAGTGAAAAAGGAGAAAACTGGATTATAGGTGGCTGGCAGACATGGGGAACAGAGGAATAGACTACACTTGGGGGAAACAAATACAAGAACAGCTTTGCAGTGGCAGCTTACATTGGAATTGCCAGGCTGGATCAGAGGCACAGTCCATCTAGTCTAGTACCGTGTCTCTGACAATGAACAATACTAGACATTTAGGAGCAAGGTGCAAGAAACCCTGAAGTAGACAGCTATGGGTAGCTAACCTGCCCTGGGGGAACATTTCTCCATAATCTCCATTAATTACATATTGGCTTATGCCCTGGAGCATGAGAAACATGTGAAGCCAGTTTCCCTTATGCAGATAACACACAGAAAACCTCATTCTGCTCTCAGTGATGCTGATGTGAACTGATAATAATTCCAGTGAAACTCTTGGACATACACCTGCGCAACCCGGGTTTGAAATCAGAAACAGACTCAGGTCTTTGGCCTGTTCTTTACCCTGCATCTTCTTTATTCCTCAAATGCAAATATCTGGGGCAACTTATTTCAAGAAGCCATTCAGTTGGCAGAATGGATCATTTAACATTGAAAAAACTTTGGGCACACTTTTAAAACTGATTGCACAGGATAGGGACTGCCCGTTCAGAAATGCTCATAGGACAGTTTTGTTGTTAGGTGCCTGGACCCTCATAAACAACAGTCTCTTTCTCTGCACTCCTTAAAGTGCCTTTTATAAGCACAGCCCAGTGGTTGGCAACATTTTGCAGCAGTGGGCCAGAATAGCCCAGCATGGGTCTGGCGTGGGCCAGTGCTAGGACCCAGCTGCTGCCACTGCCTCTGCTTCTCCCCACAATAGTTTCTCTGTGTTGTCTGGCTGCAGCATGACATAGGAAAGCCACCCCTGTGCCCAGCTGCAGTGTGGCACAGTGCAGCATGGCACAGCGCAGCACAGGCAAGGCCCCCCACTGCTTAGCACCACTGATGCCCCAGACCATGACTAGCCTGCAGGCTGTAGATTACCAGCTGTGATGATTATGTGGCTATATTGTTTGTTTGGATATTATATGGTGAAAGTTAAGTTTCTTTGGATGGGTTTTGTTCTGGCAGGGAAAGTTTAATTGCTGAGGGGCTGGGTGTGGCTTGGCTCATGGCACTCTGCCCTCGAGATTTCATAGATTTCATAGACATTAGAGCTGGAAGGGACCTCGGAAGATCATCGAGTACAGCTCCCCCACCCAAAGGGCAGGAAGTCAGCTGGGGTCATAGGGTCCCAGCAAGATAAGCATACAATTTACTCTTGAAGGTGTTCAAAGTAGGTGCTTGAACCACCTCTGATGGCAGACTGTTCCAGACCTTGGTAAAGAAATTCTTCCTTATGTCCAGCCTGAAACGGTCTTGCAGTAGTTTATGACCATTCGACCACATCATCCCTTGGGGCGCTCTGGTGAACAAACGTTCCCCCAGATCCTGGTGGTCACCCCGATAAACTTATAGGTGGCCATCAGATCACCCCTGAGCCTGCGCTTTTCCAGACTAAAGAGCCCCTGGCTCTCAGCCTGTCGTCGTAAGGTCTGGTTTCCTGACCTCTTGTCATGTGCATGGATCTTCTCTGGACTCTCTCAAGCTTCTCCACATCCTTTTTGAACTGTGGAGCTCAAAACTGGATGCAGTACTCCAGCTGCAGCCTCACCAAGGCCGAGTGCAAGGGGAGAATGATGTCCAGGGATTTGCTTGAGAAGCATCTATGGATGAAAGCCAGCATTTTGGTCGCTAAGATGGCACTGGAAGGGCTCCTGCCAGGGAGCTCTGCCTCTTCCCAGAACCTGGAGTGCGGAGGCAGGGAGCTGGAGGGTGTGCATACTTGCATGTGCCTGTGTGAGTGCCTGCCAGCTTGCAACCTGCTGGGGTCCACAGAAGCCTGCAGGTATAAAGCCCCATATGGTGAAGACAGAGGGAGTCTACCACAGGGGGATGGTAGCTGAAAGTGCTGGAGAGGCGAGGCAGAAGCAACCTGTGGAGGCCAGTGGAGAATCCGAGACCTCTCCTTGGGATGAGGAGTTCACTGAAGAGTCCATAATGATTCCTTCCTGCTACTGAAACCATCCAGGAACTGCAAAGAAAGTCCTGGCTGGGGGCAAGAGTAAAAAGTGTTAGGAAACAGTATTTTAAGTCTTTACTTTTATGTTTGGCCTTCCCTATTTATGCTGTAGTGTTTTCCCTGATTATTAAAGTTAGGTTTTTTTATCCCTTAATTTAGCTGTCCTGTAATTGGGTATTTCACCTCACAGGGAGCTTGCACAGCCACAGCTTTGGCTGATTTGGGGTCCTCTCACACTGACCTGGGGAATAGATTATCACTGTACAATGGTATGAAGTATCCAGGAGGAAGTAGGGCTGATAGGATGAAAGAGCTATGACTTTTCACAGGGGGACTCACATTACAGGTGTGATAGTCGCATGCCCCACACTAAGCCCCACCCTTTCCTAAGTTCTGCTCTCATCCCCACCCTCCCATGCTCTCCAGGCATACCTGATAGAGTGTGCACCTGGGGCACTGAAATAGAGGAAAGGGAATCAAGCCTTCAGCTGTGTAGAGCAGAGCAGAGATAGGATTCTACTTTGAAAGAGGACTTGTCAACACCAAGAGCCAAATTAACCCTTCTCTGTTCCCACAACCACTGTGATTTTCTATGGCAAGAGAGAATCCAAAGCCTTGAATTCAGCAGCAACTACAGGGCCAGTGAAGGGCTAACCTGGCCCTTGGTGGTGAGAGCTGAGACCTCCTTGGGCAGCAGCAGCATTCTGTCCCCACGCTGCTCTACATAGCACAAGGCTTGGGCCATCTGGCCTCCATTCGTGAGCCTCCCTTTATTGTGAGCCTGGGATTCTCATGCCATGGACAACAGCCACCTGTGCCACAATGGGGACCCTCAGGGTCATCTCTACAGCAGAAGAGGTCTCAGGACACCAGGGATCCCAGCTCTACAGACCTACCCTGGCTGGCTTCCACAGAGCTGTAGTCTCTAGAAAGCATGGGTCCCACAGCAGCCTGCCGGGAATCCAGGAACTTGCCTGAGGTTGAACAAAATCCAAGGCAGACAAGGTTATTGGGGTAAATGTGATACCTTTTATTAGACAAACTAAATAGTTGGAAAAATTGTTACTTGCAAGCTTTCCAGTACAAACACCCTTCTTCAGGCACAAAGAGAGTTTGTTCTTTTACTGTGTGCTCTCCTGGGTGGAATGGAAGCCAGTATGAAAATGCCTAGCAGTGAGGATGAGAGGCCCTGGGAGATAATAGGTGTGAGATAGGTGGGGAGCAAAGGTAAGGGGGAGAAGGTGATAAAATATAGTTAGTAAAATGCAGACAGGTTACCTGGGGTTATCAGATGGCAGGCAGGTTATAATGTGTCATAAATCCAATATCTGTATTTAGTCCATGGTTTTTTGTATGTAGTAGATTTATGAACTGAAGTTTGTAGGCTCCTCTATGAAAGGTGTTTTGTAAATTACCTTTGAGGATTACAACTGAGAGATTGAAAAAAGAGTGGTAATCACCAAAAGCATTTTAACAGCTACATTCTTCCACTTTCCCCTGCCCCCCTCTCTCTCACCTATTGTCTCCCAGGGCCTCTGATCCTCACTGCCAAGCATTTGCACTTTCACAGATCTGCATTTTGCATACTGGTTTCCATTCCACCCAGGAGACCACACAAAGAAACTTAATTCTTCCTGTGCCTGAAGAAGGGTGTTTGTACCCAAAAGCTTGCAAATAACAATTTTTCCAACTATCTAGTTGGTCTAACAAAAGATACCACATTTATCCAAAGAACCTTGTCTGCTTTTGTCCTTAGACTAACATGGCTACAACCAACAACA